TTTATGATAGTGTGGGTTTATTTCTCACTTGAAAATAATTTTAAAAAAAAATCACGTGAAAATTTTAATGAAATAATAAATCTCAATTATTTATTTTAATCAGACGATTATTATCTTTTCCTTCCTCTCTCATATTATACTATATTTTCAATAGTCAATTATTATTTTTATATAATTAATTAATTAATTAATATTTTTTATTTCAATCTACAAATACAAAACTATTGGAAAATTCAGCAACTTCTGCATCATCACTCTTTTGAATGTTGACGAAGATCAAATGCATATTTTGTTACATACCCATTTCTATATGAAGCATATTTTTAAAGATTTTATATGCATTTAATAAAATAATCAAGTGATGAATAACTATTTCATTAACTTTAAACAACATTTCAAAAGTATGGCATTTAAGCGTTTTATTCATTTAGGTGTATTAAAGAGTAAAACAATTTCACGACGAACTACAACAACAGGTTTCCCCTAAACATTTACCACCTAGGTTATATCCGAAAAAAGTACAATAGTTATTGCACACTTTATCGTTTATGCAAGTCCCGTTGTTAACACACTTATGTATTGGAACAGCATCTAAACTAGTTATGAATCCTGCAACAAAAAAAAGTGAATGTTTAATATAGATTATGATTTTAAATTACGACCGTAAAGATAAGCTTGCAATTTTAAATAGATTTCATAAAAATAACTTGTTGATATAACCTGAGAGCAAAATGAATGCAACGCACAAAATCCCCCAAAATCGAGATTCATTGATATAAGAAGCCATTAAGTAGAATTTCACTTTGTGAGATTGAGTGTTGATGTCTAAACTAACACATGCTCATTATATATAATGTTGAATTTCATTTTATATATTTTTCTATATATATATATATATATATATATATATATATATATATATATATATATATATATATATATATATATATATATATATATATATATATATATATATATATATATATATATATATATATATATATATATATATATATATTATATATATATATATATATATATATATATATATATATAATGAAAATTAAATTTATAACAATCCATATGATACACATTTAAAAAATATATTATATCTAATGTTAATTGATACATATACAATATAAATGTCTAACGGAATCATTATATAAATATCCAAAGTTTAATAAATAGTTATAGAACATGATACACAATAATATCTAATAAAACAACTAAGATCAATTGACAATATCTACCAAATTACACCTTTAAGTAAGGCGACCAAGGCACTTGCTAGGCCTCTAATTTTTATTTTGGTGAAGCAAGATATTTATTATTTAAAATAAATTTTTATGAAAAATTAAAATATTCAGAATTCAATTTTATAATTTTAATATTTCTTATTTGATCTTAGTTTATACTTTTTTTTGTTTGTGTCTGTTATGATTTATTTATTGATTTTCTTTTAGTAAAATTTCATCTTAAAATTTTGATTTAGAATGTTTAAAACTAAAAAAATAAGAGAAAGTAGCTAAAACTTTAAGACCTATTATATTTCAACAAAATGGATTAATTTTATAATGGACAAAAATGTGTTAAATAAAATCAAATTATAATAATGATAATTGATTTTGTATACTAAAATACTAAAGTTAAATTTAAACAATAGAATTTTATTTAAACATTTTATTTTTAAATTTGCCTCGAGTCTCAATTTGTGTTGGGCCGACACTATGTTGATGACATTGTATTTGGAGGGATGTCAAACAAGATGAGCTACCATTTTATCAAACAGATGCAATCTGAATTTGAGATGAGTCTTATTGGTGAATTAACATATTTTCTTGGCCTGCAAGCTAAACAAATGGATGAAACTATCTTCAGTTCTCAAAGCAAGTATGATAAGAATATAGTAAAGAAGTTTGGGTTAGAAAATTCTAGTCATAAAAGGACATATGCTGCCACACAGTTGAAACTAACTAAGGATGAAAAATGTGTTGATGTGGAGGAGTTATAGAAACTAAAGTTGTGGAGGAGTTATAGCAACTAAAGTTGTGGAGGAGTGAAATAGTTACTCATATTTCCTCCATTTAATGGTGCACAAATTTTTAGGGAAGTCTTTACAAAATATCATGGTCAATGTTAGGAATCTAAAGAATCTCAAAAGGATGTTCTGACAACAAGGAGTTGGTGGATCTAATTGAGTTGCTGGTTAACATGTATGAGGTTTGTGTGAGTAAGATAAGAAAGGAGTATAGGAAATTCTTTGACATAGGAAAATGTGTGAAGAAGATTTGTTGTTCTTCTCCTATGAGCATGGTTGTTTTTGTCAACTTTTAGTTAAATAGGGGGGGGGGGGGTAGTTTGGATGTTTACAGTTTGTCTTGTTGATGCTGCTGCATTTAATCTACTTGAGGGGGTAGTTTTTTTGTTAGTGTTTATGTTAAACTTTTTAGGGGAAGCATTATGTTCATCCTTGTTATCTTTTGGTTGATCATATAGTATTAAGGGGGAGTTTGTGTGCTTGATGTCACACATGTGGTCTAGACATCTGGTCTGAAATATTTTTTTGAAGAAATTTTTGTTTCTCCATTTTCTTCTGAAGCTGTGTGAGATGTTATACCTGATATTCTGATGTCATATATGTGATAACTAAAATAGGGTGTAATATACATATATTTACACATGATTTTTATTTAAAATGGTGTAATTTGGAATATTTACACCCGATTTTTATCGAGTGGGAGTAAATTTGTTTGCTTAAAATGTATATATATAACACATTACCCCGGTTTTCTATTAAAAATGGTGTAATTTAGCATATATATATATACCCGATTTTTATCAAATGGGAGTAAATTTGTTTCCTTAAAATGTACAGATGTCACATTATACACTTGTTATCTATTAAAAAAGGGTGTAATTTAGCATATATTTATACCCTTTTTTAGACGAGTGTAAATTCGTTAGACATTTCTCACCCATTGAATTTACACCCTTTAAAAATGGGTGTAAAATTTATAAAAAAAGGGTGTAAAATTATCTTATATTACTATTGATTGTTTGGAGGACGTCGACTGTAAGAGAATGACTTTAACAGAGACTTCGGTATATTATCATTTGATATTTTTACACAATCTATAATATTCAAAGGTGAATCATAAGATGTTAGGGTTTCCTTTCTTTGTAAATTTAAAAATGTTTGTAAGAAAAAGGGATTTGGAAATTTAAACTAGAAACTAAAGAAAAGTTCATAAAATTAGAAGAATACACAAAAAGCTATGATTCATTCACAACAACATTAAGATTTTTGTTTCTCGTAAAATCCTACTTCACCCAAACCAAAATTAATTGATAAATACATAAGACTTTAAGTTTTGGTTCAAAAGCAACTTATGTAAACGAGAAACTAATTTATGGTGAGCTTCGATTCAGAAATAGAGAAGCAAATAGTTTTCCTTTTCAGGCCGAGAAGAAAATTGTTTCATTGTTTTTTACTTTCACTGTATATTTCCCAAATGATCAGTGCACAAGAAAAATTTGGGGATGATATTGGGGGACGATAGAAGAAAAACCGTCTCAGCTTCGGTAAAAGGGAATAAGTATTTCTACGTGTTTCTAGCAGTTGGGCCCCTTCTCTAATAGGTACAATATCAACATGCCTTTTATGTTGAATATTTGTAACAAATAGCTCTTTGTAGAATCTGATCACTTCCATTTCAATATCTGTAAAATCAGCCATCTTTCTACTCCGAGGATCGTTTAAATTGTGCATTCCAATTTTTTTTTGTTTTTTTCTCTAGCTGTATTATAGAAATATTCATTATTTTCATACTCCAATTTGAGCCAATTTATCTTGATTTTTGCATTAGTATATATTCGTCAGTATCACTGTTTTGTAGAAGCTCCCCTGACTAGTGCTTAACACCTTGGTTGTACTCTTGATTGAACATATTAGATTGAAGGAGGTGTTGAGCTTGATCAAGATGACCTCTTATTTCTATTATTTTATTGGTAAAATACCCATTTTAGTCCCTTAACTATACCCTTAGATTCAGATTAGTTTCTTAATTTTGTTTGTGTCATCTTTGTCCCTTAACTTTTAAAATGTTTCATTTTAGTCCTTTTTGTCTAATTAGCGATGAAAAACTTTGAAATCGGCCGCTAAATCTGTCACTAATTAGACAAAAATGACTATAGGGAAACATTTTAGAAGTTAAGGGACCAAGATGACACGAAAAAAAATAAGGGACCAATTTGAACCCAAGATTACAATTAAAGGATCAATATTTTGCCTATTTTCTTCATGTTGTGAGTCTTCTTCATGTTTAAAGTTCTCATAATAGGTTGAAGTTGTTTCAATTATTATTATTATTATTATTATTATTATTATTATTATTATTATTATTATTATTATTATTATTATTATTATTATTATTTTATTATTATTATTATTATTATTATTATTAAAACTATTTATTATTATTATTATTTATTATTTATATTATTATTATTATTGTTATTTTATTATTATTATTATTATTATTATTGTTATTTTATATTATTATTATTATTATTATTATTATTATTATTATTATTATAATTATTATTATTATTATTATTATTATTATTATTATTATTATTATTATTATTATTATTATTATTACTATTATTATTATGACGGGTTAATACTCGTTTTGCCTCTTACCATATAGGAAAATTCGAAAAAAAACCTTGTAAAAAAAGATTAAAAAACCACCTTACCATATGAAGATTTTCCTGTTATGAAAATTTCTCTTATAAAATTGGTATTAATCCTATTATTACTATTATTAGTTTTATTATTATTATTATTAGTATTATAGTCAAAAGTTTGTTGATGAACATTTTTTTTTGGAATTCTAGAAAGAAAGTTGTAGAATAATATAGTTTGTTAAAATGTAATCTTTTAATATTATAAAATTTTATTTTTAAAAACATAATTATATAAGTATAAAATTAATAAA